GAAAAGAGAAGACTTTTTGTCAAGACAGGAGTATAAAGTTGAGTCATCAGCAAAAAGAGCTACTTTAGATGAAAGGTTGTCAGGAAGATCCTTTATGTAGATAAGAAACAAAACAGGGCCCAGGATGGAGCCTTGGGGAACCCCAGAAGTTACTGGAAATAAAGAAGAGTGTTGGCCTTCAAGAATGACTTTAATAAACAGGTTAGAAAGAAATGATTTGATAATCGCAAAAACTTTCCCAGAAACACCATACGAAGCAAGCTTATGGAGAAGACCAGCATGCCAAACTTTGTCGAAAGCTTTAGATATGTCAAGAGCAATAGCCCTAGCCTCACCGCCTCCATCTAATGCACGATAAAATCTTTCAGTTACAGCTGTTAGCAAGTCGGCCGTAGAGCAAGAGGATCGAAAACCGTATTGATTGTCTGACAGCAGTTTATTTGACTCAAGATGAGATGTGCGGAATTTGTTGATCAAAGACTCAAAGACCTTGCTAATAACAGAAAGAAGACTGATCGGACAATAATTGGAGGGGTCAGAATTTTCTCCAGAGTTTTTGAATATTGGAACCACAGATGCCATTTTCCAACAAGCAGGAAAACAAGACTCAGTCAAACACTTGTTAAATAGTTTAGAGAGAATTGAAGTAAGTTCTGGAGAACAATTCTGCCAGACTGTGACAGGAATGTTGTCTGAACCACAAGCTGTAGATGAGTTTAACTGAGATATGACTTTTGCAACAGAAGCCGGAGTGATTTGAATGTCTAACAATGGTCAACCTGTTTGACTGGAATGGAAGGAAGAGAATGTCCATAAGATTCAAGAGTGGAATTAGAAGAAAAGTTCTTTGCAAATAGTTCTGTCTTATCCTTGGGAGAGGTAATAAGATCAGTCCCATAATTGAGAGATGGAATGTTAGATCTACCCTTGTTAATAATGCTGTTGAAGATTTTCCAAAAGTCTTTAGAGCCTAACTTCTGTGATAAGATGCGAGATTTAGTGAACTGAGAATAATGGAGTTTAGCATCAGAAAGCATCTTTTTACATCGATTTCTTGCAATTATAAATAGCCGTTTGTTCTCAAGAGAGTTGTTCTTTTAGAAAAGATGAAAAAAATGATTACAATTGGATATAGCAGCCGCACAAGAAGGAGAAAACCATGGAGTAGAATGAGGCTTGACTTGAAACCGACGAGAAGGAATAAAAGCTTCCATTCCAGCCTGAATCCAGGAGGTTACGTAGGAGGCGCATTTGTCAGCTGAGAGAGAAAAAACATCAGCCCAAGGACCATCACGAAGAAAATCACGAAAGGAATCCCAGTCAGCTTTAGGGTAGTAGTAGGTGGTGCGATGATAAGGTGAGCCCAAAAAAGAAGTACAAGAAGAAAGATTTATAGAGATCATTGCATGGTCAGAACCACCTAAGAGAGAAAAGGGAGAAACTGAACATAAGCTAGGGTCAGAGACAAGACATAAGTCAAGGAGTGAAGGTAAATGATTAGGGTTGTCAGGAAAACGAGTCACAAAGTTAACTATCTGAGTAAGAGATTGAGAAACGCAGAAGTTAAAGGCTTTAGTGTCAGCAGAATCAGTGGTGTTAGAGCCAAGCCATTCAGTGTGATGGGCATTAAAATCACCAACAACAACAATATTGGCAGAGGGGTAAAGAGAGAGGGCATGGTCAATTTGATCAGAGATAACATCTAAGAGAGTGCAATCATGGGAAGAAGAAGAATGATAAAGAACAAAGAGAAAGGTGATAGAGTGAAGAGGTGCTAGGTGAAAGCACATAAAAGAATGGTCAAAGGATTCGAACCTGATTTCACGACAAATAGGGGAATTAATGCGTATGTATACCCCTAAACCTAGCATGTGACTATTGGAGTCTTTACGAATCAAAGGATAGTACCCATCAACACTGACATCTGAAGAAGGAATTGCAGAATTTAAATTTGTTTCACTGAGTGCAAGCAAGTCTGGTGAATTTTGCAGGAGGTAAGACTCAACTGATGGAAAGTTGCTTCGTAGACCGCGAATATTTGTAAAAGATATATTAAAATATTTAGGTGGTGGGGATGGTTTTTTAGGTTTTAAATTTTTGGTTACTTTTGTCATGATTTGGGTTTAATGAGAACTTGACTCATTCATAGATAGAGCGCAGCCTCCTAATCAATGAGCTATGCAGTTGTCTCTGTCCTGTTAATTAACACTAAGCCATGACATAGGGCTCCTTATGTGGCCTTGACAATGCACACCAAAAGCATTAACAGGGACACCATCCATGCGCAACATGGTACTGTTAATACTCTGATATTTTGCAGCTGTTGATGGAATCGGCCTCTCTGAGAGCTACCACAGAGTTCGGGAAATCTTACTACCAGCCGGCCTCAGAACCATTAAACTGAGTTTTAGAGCTGTACCCTCATATGGAGATAACAGGAAGAGTTGCATAGCCATTATCAAGGAGGCATAAGCAAAATTCTATGAGTAGAGTCAAGGAGATCCAGCATTCATCATCCTAGGCAGGAAACAATGTAACACAGGTTACATCTACGCCAGCCTAATAGATGAAGAAGGGGTTTGAGGCTGGTTAGCTTGCAAAATTAGATCAGATTGAAAGATAGAAAGAGAAAGAAAAAGAGGCTGAGTTCAGAAAAACACTTCTTTGTTACAGAGGAAACTGAGGTTTCTGAAAATGAAGATATAACATCTGAGTATTCAGTTTCTGAATATGATTCAGATATCTCAGAGTCTAATCATATTTCTTGTAGACAGAAAAACAACAAGATTCTCATAGAGCTTACTGCTGAAAAACTTATTGAAGCAACAACTGCTTGTGCTACAAGATACAACATCAGTCATAGAGGTCATTATTATATGCTAACTAGTATCCTTAATGCTGCCAATGTTGATATTGATAATGTTAATATCTCTCTATCAACTCTTCATAGAAACCGATATGTTAGCATTGAGAAACAGGGTGGTTTTTTGAAATGAGATCATAGACAAATTAAAAAGCAAAAGATTAATGTTACACATTGACACCAAACTTGTAAAGCAAATTTATGAGCAGAAGAATATCTCTGTTACAAATGATAGACTAGCATTAAGTGTATCCACTTAAAAATATCTCTGTTACAAATGATAGACTGGCATTAAGTGTATCCACAGACGCTCCGGATTCAGAAGACATTCTCTTAGTTATTCACATAATTGAAAATTCAAAAGGAGAAATTCAGGCAAAGGAGATTTTTAACATTCTATAATACTTTAATTGTGTTGATTAAGTTTTTGCAGTTAATTCAGATACAACCAGTTGCAATACTGGTAAATACCATGGAGCTATAGCAGTTCTTACTAATACTATTGACGGTAACATCCTATGGGTTCTATGTAGGCATCATATATATGAAGTCCACATTTCACTTTTTTTTAGAAGTTTTAATTGGAGGTACTAAGGGTCCACATAAACCACTTTATGTTAAATTTAAAAAGATCATGGCCAGAGATCTTTGATGGGGTAAATAAGCTTGATAATGTATCTATCTTTGATTGGAGCACTCTATCTTCTGGTTCAATTTTTTATGTAAAAGCCAAAGAAGCCCTAACCTACTTGACTCATGCACTTCATAATGAAACATTTGCTTGAGGTGATTACCGCAAGTTAGTAAAGCTAAGTATATTTTTCCTTGGCGGTGTTATTAAAAACTTTAGATTTCAGCAGCCTGGTGCAATGCACGAGGCAAGGTTTATGGCTGATGCCCTATATATTTTAACAAAACTGATGACCAAAGTTACAAACAAAATATTACCAATGGACCAGGAAGAAAGGTTTAACAATGCTAGCTTCTTTATATGTGTTATGTATGTCCCATGGTTTCTAAAGAGTAGAATACCAGCCTCTGCTGCAAGATGCGATTTGAAGGCGTTAAAAGACTCTTATGAGCTGAAGAAATCTTTTTGCTCTAAGAAGTATAAAGATCTTGGAAATGCTCTAATAAAAAGCTTAAAACGCCACACATGGTATTTAGATGAACAACTAGTTATTCTTGCATTAGCAGACAAAGATTTGCCTGATATCACAAAGGTAGAAATGATAGCAAATTTGCTCATTAATGTTAAGCCAGAGACATTTAGGCGTGGTCCGCCAACAAAGGTTCTTAATTTGGACTGTAATTCGACTCTTCCTAACCTTGTGGGTCCAGAAAGCTGGATCCTTTTTGACATTGTAGGTGTTTCTAAGGAAGATGTTTCTCAATGGATAATGGAGATTCTGGCAGCTGGGATGATTTGGAAAGCTACAGAAAGTTTGTTCAGTTTGTGAAAAACATGCAAATAACAAATGATGGCGCTAAGAGAAATATTCGTCTTATTCAAGATTTTGTCTTTGCAAGTAAATCAGAAGATCAAAGGCAAAACGTGATATTTGTAGCAAAAGAGGAGAGAAAAAGAATGCCTGCTAATGTTAAAAAAAAAGGGTAGTTGCCATGCAAAAAATCGGAAAATAAAATAAAAATTCAAAAAAAGAAGTACAAAATAAGAATTGGAAAATCTGATTATGTAAACCTGAAAATAATGATTTGTAATTGTTATTACTTAAATAAATTCATTTTTTATCAAATGAAAAGCTTTTTTTAGACTATTAAGTTTTTAATTTTTTATTTTTTTGCTATCAATTTAAAAAAAACTATGTTATTGAAAAAAAAGTGATGTTTTTTGTAAAAAGCTAAAAAAATTTAAAAAAATCAAGTTCAATGTAATCCTGTTACACATGGCCATGAGCTGAAACTTTAAACACGATCATTTTGATATAAATGACTAAGATTGCAAGGTATAGTGTCCGTGGATTTTGACTTTTGTTAAAATTTGACACAGGCTAATATATATATATGTATGTATGTATATATATATATATATATATATATATATATATATATATATATATATTTATATATATATACATATTAAGTAGGGTATACACAAAAAAATGAATTCAAATACCTATTACTTGAATTCAAATGCTGAAACATAAATTTTGCTTCCTGCTCCAACTCATTAATTTCTTTACATTCTGAATCCTGTTTTTCACACCAAAGTGCAGCCTTACCTTCACGATATGGAAAAATCTTTATAATAGATGCCCACGCAACATTTTCACTTATATCATATTCTTGCTGAAGTGTATTGACAAATTCTAGAATTTCATTAGGTGTGTATTTATCAAAATTTGACAGAATAGTGGCTGTTTTCCATTTTTGCAATTCATCTTCAATATTTAAATTGTAAGACAATTTAAAAGCTTGTTTAATATTACTTAAAGTGATATCATGAGCAAAAAAATTAAGAAGAGTAAAAAATTGAGAAGAGAGCTTATCAACATAACTAAGATTCTCAGTTAGCATAAATAATTGTTTTTGCATAAAGAGACATTGTTTAACTGAAAAGTGGTTTATGATAGGGTTTAAACAACGGAAACTTGTTAACTTGTCTTTCCAATATGTTAATCGCTTCTCCAATTTCTCAGATTCTATTATTAAACCATTGATGGAAGTTTCTCCCTCAAACTCAATATTACAATAAAATGTCTTTTTCCAATGTATAAATTTAATATCACCAACTTCACAAAGAGACATATAAGCATTTCCTAATCTTGTTACAACTTCAACAACCTGTCAATTAATCATTGAATTTTTAAAAAAAAATAAAAAAATAAAAAAAAAAAAAACTTTCAATTTTTTTAAAAGTTAATGACATTAAAAATAGTAGATAATAACAACAGATATGATGCTTTACACAAAAATGACAATGAAATTTTTTTGTGTGTTACTAATACTAATATAAATTAATAATAAGATATAAAGCTATATAAATTAATAGTAATAAATTGTCATTTGTTTAGGGTTATAACAAAAATTTAACAAATAAAATAATGAATAATAATTAAAAAAAAAATTCAATTTATTGATTTTAGAAAAAAAGTAAAACTGCTCGGTGTAGTTAAGGCACTTTTAAAATATTATAGCGTTTGTATGATATTTTATTGACTACGACATATTTCTGTTAAATGGTCTGGTCTGCGAATTATAAAAATACGAAAAATATAACTTTTGCGGTATCATAAAATGTAAATGTAGCAAAAAAACCCAGACAGAAGATTCTTTTTTTTTTTTAAAAAAACCATATTAAAATCACAATCGCTCGTCCTAACTTGAATAAGAATTTATATTAATACGTTTTTTAGGTGAAATGAACGTTATAGTTGAATAATATGATCTGTTCTGATCGTTTATTGGTAATTTTCCATAATTATAAGCTCTTTCTTGGTCGGAGTTCTAGTATTTTTTGTGAAAATTGATAGAAATATTGTGTTTTGACAACTATATATAGTTAATATATGTCAGAACAAATTAGAACTAGGATCAGTATTAAATTAAGAAACTTTTTGAAAAGATTTTAACTAAGTTCATGTTAATGCCGATGAGCGGAATTGATCTAAAGACTCCAAAATAGTGTTCTTTAAATTCACTATTACGGGTAGTAAAAAGTTTCTAAAAATTATATAAAAAAAAGAAAAGTTTCTTTAAATATTTTAAAAACCATAAGTAAAAAAAATTATAACATTTAAAGATCTTGTTTGGACATAATATGCTGACAAAACCATGCTAATTCCAAATAAAAGTATTCAAATATTTTGTAAATCGCCTTAACTACACCAAGTGAGCAAAAAATGATCTTTTTTTATTTTGTTTTGATTTGCTTTATAACTTGATATAATTAATTTATAAGTTAAAAAAAATATATTGCTTACATAAATAAATATAATAGCTTTTATGTAATATAATTTATAATAAATACAAAATATCAAACAATGAATAAAACAAAAACAACTTAAAAGAAACTATTTATTATATTTATTATAAATTGTGTGTAATTTATTTGTTACAATTTTGTGCCATTTGACATAAATTTGTGACTTTTGTACAGTATGATATATATTTATTAAAACTTAAGTGCAAATGGAAGTACATGCAGAAATATAGTATATACACATGGAAGTATATACACAAATAGTGATCAAAGTGAGGCAAAAGGAAGTAAGATGATCCAAACAGCTCTTAATAAACAAAAAAACCATCCTGGCACTTTTTTATATCTCTCTTAATATAACTATTGTTAGGTCTCATGGTACTTGAAAATGATTAAAAATAACAACCCTATTACTTTTTCCTACACTTTATATATTTTAAATGAAGAAAAACAATTTGGATGAAAGAAAAGAAGAAAAAATAACATAATAAAAAGATTATATTTGTCTTTTTGTTCAGTATTAGGGCAAATAGCTGTTGAAAAAATTGTTTTTTATATGTATGTATGTATGTATGCATGCATGTATGTATGTATGTATGTATGTATGTATGTATGTATGTATGTATGTATGTATGTATGTATGTATGTATGTATGTATGTATGTATGTATGTAATGTATGTATGTATGTATGTATGTATGTATGTATGTATGTATGTATGTATGTATGTATGTATGTATGTATGTATGTATGTATGTATGTATGTATGTATGTATGTATGTATGTATGCATATATGTATGTATATATGTATGTATGTGTGTGTGTATTTATATATATATATGTATATATATATATATATATATATATATATATATATATATATATATATATATATATATATAAATATACATACATACATACATTCATACATACATAGAGGGGAATATATATATAGGGGAAATTTGAGTAGCCCTGGACACTCAAGGAAAAAATAGATTGTACACATGTACTAACAGAAATTATATTGCCAAGAGACATTTTAAAAAGTATAAACATTTATCTATTGAACAAGAAAAAAAGATTACTAGATCTGCCCTACAACATCTGTAGAGTAGTCCAAGATCCTTTATGCACTTTTGTCCAAGATCATCTGTATTTTTTTTCTCCAACAACATCTGTCCAATATCATCTGGAAATTTAATGTACAGATGTAGTTATTCTTAACATAATTGAAAAGATGTAACTACATCTGTAAAATCTCCAGAAATAGTTGCACAGATGATGTTATACTTGGGTAATTCAAAAGATAATCGAAAAGATAATTGAAAAGATAGTAACTACATCTGTAGCAATCATACACTTTTTGCACAGATGTTATTAGACATCAATGAAAATTCAGATGTTTAATCAATTAAATTTCAGATGTTGTTGGACAGATGTTATCATACCTCAGTGTATTTACAGATGTTTTTAGACAGATGTTATTAGACATAGCAAAAACTGCTGTTGTTACCCTGACCCTTTCAATCAATCAATCAATCAATCAATATATATTTCGTCAATGAACAAAAAAGAAAGAAAATTTTACAATGTACTTGTAAAATAAAAATAAAATAAAATATATTTTTTAAATTCTGACAGGAGCAAGCAGAAGACAATACATCTTATCATCTTGCCCCTTTGATAGTAAAATAGTTAACTTTATTTACATGATTAAGTTTGTAAAATCTATAATTATAAAATTAGTTTATTATAAAATTACATATTTTTAAGTTAAACATACATATTTGTATTAGTAAATACATAAAAATACAACTTAAAAATACAAAAAAATATTTTTATTGGTTAGATTTAACAAATGTTGTTTCACAGTTTTTTTAAATGCTTTAATTGAGGGTATAGATTTTATGTCATTATTCAGGATTGAGTTCCACAGACGTGGACCCCGACAAGTAATAGAGTAGTCCGATTTTTTAAGAGTTGTTGATGGTATGTAAAAATTGTCAATAGAATATCTTGTTAAGTATCTGTGATTAATTAAAGAGAAATGTGGCTGAAAATATGATAGAAGCATGTTATTGTGAAGTTTAAACATAAACAATAAATTTTGATAAATGTTTAGTTCGAATACATTCAGAGCTTTAATTTCTTTTAGTAAAGGCTTGGCGTGTGCATATCTGTCTGCATTAAAAATTAACCGAGTCGCTTGTTTTTGTTTGCTATAAATTTTTTTTAATAAAGACCCTTTAAAAATTCCCTACTGTAATGTAAGGAAAAGGAATGAAAATGTCATCATTAAAAAATATTAGTTTTTTACTAATGACAATAAACACTTTAAAAACACTTTATTCAAATCTTAGGTCCTTTTATTGGAATTGAATGAATTACTATTATGAGTTTGTGATTAAATGTATCATTAATTATATAAAAAATTGCTTATTTTTAATATGTAAATAGATTAAGTTGTATAGAACCACCCTCCAAACATGTGTCCAATACCACCTAATCATACCTCATTAACAAATACTAGTTTTAAAACCAGTAAATTAAAGTATTGAACAAATTTTTTTTTATATACATAAAAATTGTAAATAAATTGTATTTTTAATCAATAAAAAGCTATTAGTTTGCATAAAAATTAAGTATAATAATATGTGAATCAAATATGATGATACATCGCTCTTTTGATGGCGGGAAACAAAATCTTGAACTCCCAGCCTATCGCTTTGGCATATTATGAGAGATATTTTGCATATGTTAATTTTCATTCAAATAATATTTGTTATAGTATTTAAATGACAACAAAATACATACATATATATATATATATATATATATATATATATATATATATATATATATATATATATATATATATATATTAACGAAGAAAAAATAACTTTTTCGAATAAGCAAAGGTTCCCAATTTTTGACGAGGCTTTATAAGTATTGCCACATTTTACAATTTTCCACTTATTTAAGGGTGTAAACATTTGGTCTTTTATGTCCCAAATTTCTTTAGACAGCTCAGTACCATTTTCATATTTATTAATGTTAAAAGATTTTAGGTGATTCACATACCGAGATTTGAATGGAGTTTCACATAACCCAAAATATACTTTTTCTTTGTAGTCAGGTTTATTTGACAACACAGTGGCTCGATAAACAATATTTTTTGTCAAGCACTAATTGTTCATGGGACAGATGGATTTGTTGACACAGTTGCATGTTTTTCCCTCATCTTTATCTTGGCTATATAATATCCTGTGGTTGTGTATTCTTCATATATATATCCTTCATATATATATATATATATATATATATATGAAGGGCACAAGGGAAAAAGCAGACATGTCAAAAATTTCATATATTGAGTTTTTTCCTTTGGTACATAGAGCCTGACGCAAAGTTACATCCTATTATGTTGTTGAACCGAAAAACCAGCAAAGTTTCGAGTATTTAGCATTTAAAAATATAGCCACTGGGGAAAAATGTCCAAAACCTGCAGGGGAAAATGTAGACATGTCCCCGGTGAGTCATGTGGTGTTGATTCTCATTACTAGGTCAGCCAATCAGCATTTAGCTTTAGCATAACAACAAAGTGCTTGCAAAATGGTGGATTGCTTTGACAGACCAGTTGTGACTGTTATACCTCGAAACCGAAAAATTAATGGAAGGAAAAAAGATGCAGCAAAAATGAAACACATAAAAAATCACACATCAGGTGAGGACTGCAAATGCAGTTGTCTAAAATGTTTTAAACAGATAGATGAAGCTGCAAGACAATCACTTATTGAGGGCTTTAACGCATACTCAAGCAAAGCAAACCAAGATGCTTATCTTAATAATAATTAGTTAAATAACTCACAAAAAATAATTAAAATCATTATCATAATTTATAAACTGAATAGTTGTTTAAACAAAACTGATGTAATACGTTTTTATTTATCATAAATGATAAATTACAAAAGCTCGAAAATTATTATAAATTTTATTCTTACAACGTGGTTAGATATATTTAATAGGCATCAATTGCTACACTTGTAAAATAATACTTCCTTACTGTGTTTAAACGACTTGGTAGCTAAGAAAATTTTACAGTCTTGTTACAGAGCACCACATTAGAGAATTTAACTAGTTTATACCTCTTTCCTTACTGATGTCGTGAAATATGTCCAGACCTTGCTTCGAATCCAAATCAATATTTAATTTTTTTTTGTGTGTGGTTATTAAGGTGCTCCCAGAAATCCTCATGGTCTTATCACATAGCACTGATTTTAAAGTTTCTCCCAGCAGAAACTTTAAAGTCAGCATTCAATACACATAAAGGTGTCTCAAAAATCTTAAACTCAAGACATCAAAAATTTGTTTTACTCCTACTGACATCCTGAAATTTTGACAACATTTTTAACTAACTTCCTTACCATTTAGCGGTAGTGGTGTAATGGTAGAGTGCTCGCTTCATAAGCAAGAGGCTCTAAATTTGATTCACACCACGTCCCTGGTAGTACCCTCCTTAACTTATTTCTCCATGCAGCGGCCTTGTTTGTCAAGGTTCGTGTTTTGGAGTTATAGAGTTGAGAGAGGGTGTTATAACCACAAGTAGCCTCTTCATCTGTAGCGGCCTTATTGGCCTTGGGGAGGTGGGGAAAAAAATATTTAATTATGGAGTTTTTCCAGCCTCATAAAAATTGATTAAGTAACACAAATTCCCCCCCCCCCCCGGGAAAAAAAAAAAACCCAGCTCTAACTAATTTGACTCTTTTATTCTATGATCTTTATCAAATCAATTTTCAAACTCTTGAAAAGCTTGCTTATCTAGACAACTTTAACATGTCACTTTGGCTGAAAACTTCAACCCTTTAGAACCTAATTTTTGATGCTATCACGCAACTGAAACAGCAGATTTGCAATAAAAAATGTTATCAAACATTAATGTTTCAACCACCATCTTACTGTTTCTCTGAACATATCAGTAGTCTTTGTTGCAGATATGTCTGAAGAGAACATGATATCAATTTTCTTACTGAGCACATAAGAAACAAATTAATCATTAATTGCATTTGAATAGGTATCATAATATCTTCATCTTTCCTTTCTATAAGAAATGCAAATTCAACAAACTTAGAAATTTTAACAGGAGTACCACAGAACAGTATTATTGGTTAATTTTTATTTTCCGTATCTGTTTCACCTGTAAATTTCATCATAACACTTGGAGTCATAATTATACTGATGACAACTGTTTCCCAATGCGCACATGCAGTCCCCAGATGATATTTTTAAAATGGAAAAAATGCATAGTCCAAAAAAAAAAAAAAAACAGAAGCAGTTTTATTTGGATCTAGCAATCAACTTTTAACTTTGAAAATGAAACGTAAATTACATTTTCAAGTAGAAAAAATTAAACAAAAATTGTTGGTATTATCTTAGACATAACACTCTCTATGGACTAGCACATTAAAAGTATTGTGAAACCCCGGATCACATTTGTGCATTTAACTATATTTTTCCATTTTTTTCCAAAAAAGGCTGCACAAATAAAAAGCTTAGAATTTCCTGTGGCATTATAAACTCTTAGCTAAACTATTGTAATATTTTTTTATCTGAAACTTCTCAGAAAAATTTTAGCTAACTCTAACAGATTCAAAAAAACTTAGTTCGTATCATGTCTCTCATGCTTCCATTTAAAATCAGAAGATTTTTAATGGAAGCATGAGAGAAATGATATGAACTTGTTGCTTTCATAGCTCTACTGGTTGTTAACTTGCAAAAAAAACCATGCAAGATATATGTCATAAGATATAAAAATACTTTCACAAAATTTCCATGATATTTTTTTAATCAATTAGAAATTTAAAACTTATAACTACACACAAGATTATTTGGGGGCAGCCAACTTGCACTCTGTCAATCAAAAACATCACTTGGTATAAAAACATTCTGCATATCTCCACCATGACTTGAAACAATCCAAGTACAAATAAAAACATTCTGCATATCTCCACCATGACTTGAAACAATCTAAGTACAAATAAAAACACTCTGCATATCTCCACCATGACTTGAAACAATCTAAGTACAAATAAAAACATTCTGCATATCTCCACCATGACTTGAAACAATCTAAGTACAAATAAATGACTATATAAAAAAGACTAAAAACCAAACATTTTCAAAGTTTCTCAATTTTCTAAAATTAACTTTATTTGTGCTTCTGAATTATTATTGATTAACATTATTGATATAACTGTTATCAAACTTAATCTTTAACAATGTCATCGTACAGATATTGCAGCTGTGATGCATTGGTTAAAGGATTTGTTTTATAAGCAAGAGATCCAGGATTCATTGCAAGCTTTGAGCATATATATACACCAATAAGAAGGAGGCGTGAACTTCCTAGTTACATCCTCATCTGTGATGCTCAGTGACAAGACCATTACATCTTTTTGGAGCATCTTAAACAAAACCTGTTAAAAAAAATTCAAATAACACAAATTAACTAAAGTTTTTGTGCAGTTTGATATCAAATTTTTTGTCATAACAATCTTATTTTGATAATAATGTTATCAGTTTTATCTGTAAACATATTTTCATTAACAGTTTTTCCATCAAAATATGAAGATTTCAAACATTTTAATTCAATTAATATATTCAAATAAATATTACTAAATTCAAATAAACAATATTATTAAACTATTATGATTATCTATAAATATATTACAATAATGATTTTGATTATAAATAAATATAACATATTATATTAATCATATATATATATATATATATATATATATATATATATATATATATATATATATATATATATATATATATATATATATATATATATATATATATATATATATATATATATATATATATATATATGTATATATATATATATATATATATATATATATATATATATATATATATATATATATATATATATATATATATATATATATATATATATATATATATATTTGTTAATGCTTATATCAACATCTACTACATTATGTTAAAATTGGAATACCATATTACATTCAGAAAAAATTTTTGAATTATATTTAGCATTTTGAAAACCAAAAATGAGCAAAATATTTTAGGACAAGAAGAAAATCGTGAAACAAAAAGCTTAAAAATAATCTTTACTAGCCTTATGTTGTTATGTAGATTTTTTGTTTCCTGTTAGTGATTTTCAGTTAAAAAAATCTGGAATAATTTATAATTTAAAACAAAATCCATTTTTAGTTTGAAACAATATTATTTTGCATAAAACCTCACCGCAACAAAATAATCTTTCTCTTTCTGCCTTTCTTTAATTAATTTGTCACCAATACTTGCTCCTAGCAACATCAAACGACTTTGCAAATCATTTACTTTTTCTAAAGTGTAATCTTTTACAGTTGAGTTGTCATTTTTTATTTGGAACTTTATAACTTCAGCTAGATTAAATTGTAAAAAATCAGCATAGCTATTTTCTTGATTTCCTATAATGAAGCATCCTTTACGATTAGCATCTTTGGCTTCCATTATTGATTTTGTAGCCACTGATCCTTGAGATTTTTTTGCATTTTTAAACCACTCAAGATTATGATTTGTATCTGTCTAAAATAAATTTAGAAATTACAAATGAAATTTTCTTACTGACTAATAACTCAATAAGCATAAAACATTTAAAATCAACATTAAGTTTTTTAAACTCACATAACTCAGTGGAATCAAAAATGTTTAATTTGCACTGCGCACATGTGTGTGTATATATATATATATATATATATATATATATATATATATATATATATATATATATATATATATATATATATATATATATATATATATATATATATACTCTAACAAATAAGACAATTTTTTTAATTTTTGTTAAAATCATTTATTTTATAAACACATGTTTCTACTATATAATAGTCATCATCAGTTAAAATCAAATTAAAAAATGGCGATTAGTTTTGCCATTTAAAGACACAAATAATCGAGCACCAAAAAAGGGATAAAAACTCACACATTTATAAAAATATTCATTCAAATGAAAGGGTAGCCGGTAAAATGCGAACTGTGAACCGCAAACTGCAAACCAACAAAATACAAACTTTTTTGCGAACCATAGTTCTATTGGTTATTAATGATGTAATATTTTTTATTTTCCGTTTACCGTTAAATTGTTTATTTTAATATATATTTTATGGATTTCAAGCAGAAACATAAATTATATTTAATTTAAAAGAAATACAATCTAACTTAAATAAAATGTATCAAATTACACTATATTTAATTTAAATTAAAAAATTGACAAGCAAAAGTTTTTTAAATATCATAACCGTAGTGATCATTAAAATATGTCTTGGTTTTCAAAAAAGTTTGCATTTTACCAGTTTGCAGTTTGCATTTTACCTGGTACCAAATGAAAGCTGTTTTAATAGATTTAATCATGCTAGTTTTTTAATTTTGGATTCAGCCTCCAACAAATTTATATTAAAACTCAAAAAAAGCATGAGCATAAAATGGGAAAAACTCACCATTAATAGACAAATGAACCATGTAAAAATGACAATTTCAATCTAGTTTCTTTTAACATTACTGGTTCTTTTATCTTTTTTAAAACATTTGTTACATTTTTTTTAAATTGCATTTTATTGTATTTTTTATTATAAGGTCTCTTATTTTAACTTAATTTTACTAATTTGATATTTGACTAATTTTACTGAATTTTGATTTATTTTACTGATATTACTGATATTTGACTAATTTTACTAAATTTTGATATTTAACTAATTTTACTAATTTGATATTTTATTATTTCACTTAATTTTACTATATAATATATAAAATATTTTAACTGATTATGGCTGTGATATACTCGAAACATGTATTTTATAAAATAAATGTTTTCAACAAAAATTAAAAAAATTGTTTATTAGAATATTTACACATTTTGTGCTGAAGAGAAACTTTGGAAATATATATATAAATATATAAATATATATATATATATATATATATATATATATATATATATATGTATATATATGTATATATATATATATATATGTATATATATATGTGTATATATATATATATATATATATATATATATATATATATATATATATATATGTATATATATATATATATATATATATATATATATATATATATATATATATATATATATATATATATATATATATATATATATATATATATATATATATATATATACATACACACACACACACACATATATAAGGGTGTCCCAAAAAAAAATTTTTTGCACGCATACTTTTCTTATTCCCTTATGTCTAATGACTTCATATGTATGACTAAAAAAACTTTCTTAATTTCAGCTGTAAGTAAAATCTCAATTTCTTCATTTTTGATAAAATTTGAGATTTTTTACATTTTTTCAGATAACCCAAAAATTTTACATTTTTAATGCCCATTACCCTAGAGTATTTGGAAAGCCAATGTTTCCAGACTATATAAAAATAAGTCCATGCAGCTAATTCAGTACAGAAGGTTCATTGAAGCCTGATTCACAGAGTGGGTTGATAATAATGACTAGTTGAACAACCTTTGTGTTTTCTGCATTCTGTTTTGTTTTAACTGTTTTTTGTCTATTATTTTGATTTTAACTGCTAATAGTAATAATTAGAAACTGTTTTTTTAATGGTTACATGAACTATTATTTTCATATATATAATTTTGTATAAGTTATGTATATCTTCAATATATATACATATATATACTTGAAAATTACTTGTATAATAACATGTAATTCTTTTAGTGGGACACTAGAATTATTTTTTTTAAATTTGTTTTGGCATTAACTAATAACAAAAGTATTAACTGATATGAGTTGTACTCAAAAAAAAAAAAAAAAAATCCGAGGAGGTTGCCATGGATATTAAAAGTATTAACTGATACTCAAAAAGAAAAAAATAAGATCTTTGAGAAAAATTGCTTAAGTGTTGATATCTGGTCTTCTTTTTTTTCTGGTAAAAAAAACAGAGAGATCTCATAGGTGTAAATTTATATGACCTCTTATTTCAAGAATTTTATTGATACTGAAACTTCTCACTTCTTTGTTCTTAAAAGAAAGCATAATTTGAAGAATACATTGATTAGAAAGAAAATTAAATGAGAATAAAAGTATTAACTGATACTCAAAAAAAAAAAAAAAAAAAGGTGAGAAGAGAAAGTACAGCATGTCAACAAATCCGAGGAGGTTGCTATCTTTCCTAAAGTACACAACCAATGAGCTTCCAATAAACCAACTAGCAGCAATATAATGAAAATATTCTAAGATACATTCAGCTTCTAAAATCTTTCAGGTAGAAAAAAGAATAATTTTTTAATATAAATATATTATAAAACCATGATAAAATTTAAAAATGGTCTATTATATGTAGTACATATTTATCTAATGCAAAAATCAGAACAAAAAAGCCATAATAATAAATACTTCTCTATTTTTATTTTAAATCAATGAGATTTCAATCTACTGAGTTAAGAGTAGCCTGTCCTCAGAAGCATGAGAACAGTTCTTATGCTTCTGAGGGCAAAAGCTTTTGCAAGAATTCTAAACAAAGATGTGTTCCCTCAGCTGAAATAGACGCTTGCAAGAAAGCAGGGTTTCAAGATTTTATCATCAGTGAATCCAGTGTAAGAGATAAGATACTGAAACTCCATAATAAGTACATAAATCTGCATCATCTCAAACCATTGAACTGGAATTCTAGCAATGGCAATATCTCTAAGATACAGAACAAGTTTTTAGAGGAAAATAATACACTCTTCAATATTTCATTGGCTAATTTTAACAAAAAATAAATCGAGATTGTTTTTGTTCTGAGTATAACATAGAGGATGATATTTTAGTTTATCTAGATCAAAAAGTAAAGCAAAACATGTATATTTTAGAAGAATTTGATGAATTATTACAAAATACAGTCAAAAATAAAAATATTCTGCTCAATAGGATGGAGGAGGCAAGGTGTAAAGGTAGAATCACAATGAATGCAGTAAAATCTGATGAACTTGAGATTTCTTTTTATTCATCGGGAAATGATTCTGAATTAGAACTTAATTTAGATTCTTCAGATGATGAAGATTTATCTAATAAATTCAGTCATCCTAATTGTAAATCTAATATTTTTAGTCTTTGATTATATCCCAGATGTCTTAATTCTGGTATCAATTTAGTTGCTCTTCTTTGTACTTTTTCAAGCTCTCTGATATCTTTTTTATAATAGGGATTCCAAGCTTGAATCGCAAACTCCGAATGAGGTCTAACATACGTGCATTGAAGCATTTTCATGAGGTATTTATCTTTATACCTAAAATTATTATTTAATATTGCAAGCATATTGTTTGCTTTACTGGAAGCATTCATTACTTGTCTTTCCCATTTTAAATCCTTAGATATATAAATACCTAAATCTTTTTCGAGAGTAGATTTTTCAATTTCTTTTAGTTCACCATCATTTTATCATTTTTCATGAAATAAGAATATCTTCTATTACTTGCACCAAAATGCATTATTTTACATTTCTCAAAAATCAAACCCATTTTCCATTCAACAGACCATTTATCAGGGTTTTTTATGTCATATTGAAATGATTTTGAATCAACCTCAGTGTAAATAGGAGCGATTATTTTATTATCATCGTCATACAAATAACATTTATTAAAAAGTCTGCTTGGTAAATTGTTTATGAACATCAAGAAAAGGAGTGGGCCAAGAACAGAACCCTGTGGTACTCCACTTTAAGCATGAACCCAAATTTCAATGCATTTTCCCAATTTGAAGTATTTTTAAAAGACATTTAAGATGAAAAGATAATTATATGATAACAAGATTAATTAAACTTAGTAAAAAAATCTATTTAAAAAAATTTTTCTCAAAAATTGTAAAAAAGTTTCGCGAATTTTGAAAATTTAACATTCTAATAAATGTCAAAAATTTTTGTAAATCATCCCCCAACTATTTGCAAGAAAATGAAACTGACCCAACTCTAATACCTGAATCATTTAACACTTTTTTTACAAACCTTGCTCTTAAACTCAAATCCAATATTCATTTATCTTATGTTAATTATCAAAAGTATCTTTAATATCCAAATTTACATTATTATCTCCGACAAATATTTCTGAAATTTCATCTCTTATATCGAAATTGAATCCAAAAAAATCATCAGTTCCAAACAGCTTTTCCACAAACATTCTTATAGATTCAAACTATAAATTTTCAAAAATTTATTCTAAAATATTTAATATCTCATTCATAAATTGAGCATTTAATGATATTTTGAAATTATCTTGCGTTATTCCAATATTTAAAAAATGGCTCTTAACTTTCATGCACTAACTATAGACCTATTTCTCTTTTATCAAACATTAGTAAGCTTCTTATAACGCTTATGTATTGTAGAGTGTACTCTTTTCTAAACTTATTTAATTGTTAAAATGATTTTTAATTTGGTTTTCAATCAAAACATTCTACTTGTGATGCATTAATAAATATAACAGAAAAAATCAAATAAAGTTCTTGATACTGGTCATTTTGTTTGTGGTATTTTAATTGATTTACAAAAAGCTTTCAATACTGTTGACCATAATATTTTAATCTCTAAATTAGAACATTATGGAATTCACGGTATTGCAAATGAATGGTTTCAATCTTATCTTTCATATTGAAAACATATTGTGTGTATTAATGATTTTAATTCTAGTAATAAATCAGTTTTGTGTGGTGTTCCTCAAGATTCTGTTCTTGATCCTTATTTTGTTTTATATCTATGTTAACAACCTAACCAACTCTGTTCACTTCTTGTCAGCTCATCTTTTTGCTGATAATACAAATCTCTTGTACATTAACAAGTTATATGATTCTTCATGTAAAAATTCAGATTTAAAAGGTATAGTTTACTGGTTAAATGTAAATATAATGTCTTAACACCAAAAAAACTGAATTATTTTTTTGTTTCATCTCTGAGAAAAAACTCTCTTTAAAAATGTTAAAATTAAAATTAATAATGAAGGACTATATCCTTAGAAACTTATTAAATATGTTAGTGTATTAATTCACTGCTATCTTTTATGGAACTTTCACATTGATGAACTAAGCGAGACTCAAGCTAACAATATGCTTTCAATAATACGGCCTTATGCCAATATAGTAACAAATAAGAATCTTTATTATGCATTATTCTTATCTCATCTTAGCTATTGTTGTCAAGTTTGAGGTCAAGTTGGAAATCATTGCATTAACAAGTTGCTATCATCTTGACATAAATCCATTAGAATAATAAACTTCCAAACAATTAAATCAGATACATCAGAGTCTTTCAAAAAACTTAAAAAATACAACATTTTCAGCGCTAGTAAAGTATGCTAATCTTCTATTTTTTTTTGACTCCTTATATAAAAATTTACCATTATCCATTACAAACTTGTTCACAGAAAGTAGACTAGTACATTCCTATTCTACTAGAAATGAATGCAATGGAAAACTAAATATACCATCTTTAAAATCCAGTATAGTCCAGGAACAGGAGCCTTGTATGCATTTTGAATGAGTCCCAAAAACTATATCCTAAAATACCCTTTCTCATTCTCAAACAAATCAATTTTAAAAAATTTTGAAAAATAATATATTCTAATTTTTAGTCATTGTTATCATTACTATTAAAATATCTTTTTAACTTTCTTTTCACTATTACTATAATTATTATTAGTAATTTTTGTTTATTTATTTTTTTCTTTTTTTTATTATAACCTGCAAATTATGATTTCTACATGTTTATTTTTAATTTATGTTCTATGTGCTTTAATTAAAATTTAATGAGTTTACTGTCCATGTGTTTCAATGTATGTCTGCTTATTTAACTTATATTAAAAAACTGGTATCACTCCTTTAATCAGATTTCTATATGAGTGACACCATCCATATAAATCATTAACTCATTAATATAGATAATTTTACGCTTCTAACTACCATTGCAATATATATTATTATTATTATTATTGCAAACATACTTATTATTACTATTACTACAATTTTTATTTATTTTGTTATCTTATATTATTATTATATATTATTGTCATTATTATTACTATTACTGATAGTATTATTATTTTTATTATTATTAATACTATGTAAAATACTTCTTTGTTTTCTTTCACCCATGCTTTAAATGTAAAAGCTGTGTAGGCAGTTACCATACCTTGAAAACTTTTTTTTTTTTTTTTTTTTGTGGCGTATTTTTTTTGATCAATCAGCATGTCTACTGATGAAACCATGCAGTTCTCTAGTGTTTCTATATAAGTGTTTTGGTTGATTTAGCATGAATAAATGTTACACTTACCTACTCATTTTAAACTAAACCTTACAATCTCTTTAACTGATCACAATTTCTTTAGGATAATTGCTACACTATGATTGATATTATAAAAAACTTTGTATTTTTTATTTATGACCTTAAAGTTACTTTTATTACTAAAAATTATTTGCTTTTGCATTTCAAATGACATCTAATTCTCTCCTTACATCATCTTAACTTTGTGAGTTGATCACTTACCAACAGTATAGGTTTCCTAACAGCTGCATAAACACCAATGTTTTTCTAAAATAAAATGTTTCTAAATGTATTTGAAGAAAATTTTTTGCATAGGTTTCATTAAATCTGTTGGTAAGTTCACTATAATTTTACTTTGGAATGGCTCTAATTTGACAGAATAGAAGACTGCTTTCACGATCTATAGTTTATTTTAACTTTCCTAATCCAAGACATTGGTTGGCACGTCATTTTTTATTGTTTTTATAGTATTTCTGATGCAATTTTTTCAAATTTAATTCTCCTTGCTGTTTTTTTGTTACTGATTAAAGACTCATCTTATATACCTATTACTTTAAGACAAAGTTTAAAATCAAAAAACATCAATAATGAGTCAGAGATTTTTAGTGCTGTTTAGAATTTCTTTCTTTTAAAACCCACAAAATTAGTCTGTTTTATCATTAGATTATGTTAGATTCAAACAGTTATTTTAAATATTTATCATTATATTATACACTCCATAAATTTTTTATTAGCATTGCTGATAGGGGTTCAGAATTTGTTAATTTTAGCCACTTTGCTGCTTTGCTTAGTGCAAATACATTTCTACCTTTTTTAATTTTAGATCTTATCTAATCATTCAAAATGGTTTTAAATGTGGCTAACTGGTCATTTTATGTAATTTTTTACAACCTTCTATAGGAAATGTAAATAAGGGTGAAGGGGTGGGGGAATAGATATTTGAAAAATTATTGGGGGATACTATGCCATACTTGAATCTGATTGAGTCTACAAACTACCTGCACATTTTTGAAGAATGTTTTGGATCAGATGTAGTACCTTTTCTCCCTAGCTCAAATGCACAAAACTTCTGCACCTGGAGCCAAGTATAAGATATTTAGCTCATCGGTCCTCAGTACTTTTTTTTAAATCATTCACTGTACACTGGCAATGAAAAAAGCCCACTCTAACCATTTCTTATTATTTTTTTGGGTCTGAGACATTTTTAAACAGCAACAAAACCTGCTTGCTTTCCTTAATCTATAGCTGAGAAGCTTTGGTAGAATGAGCAAACATGCAAAAATGTTTGATAGAATGAGCAAACATTATGTGGCATGTACAAAAATGAGAAATTTTTGTACATGCCACATAAGTTACCAGATTTTATTGCTGTAAAAGCTAGTATTTTGATGCTTAGCTTCCCAAGTGGAACAGATATAGTAATCTTGGTTACATGGTGCAGATATCAAAGATAATTCCACACCATTGGTACACCAAATAGATATTAATAATAAATAAAGTTGTTATTTATTTATAAGAGGCAGAATGTTAAGAAACTATTCTCATTTTTAAATTATTAAAAAATTATGACAATTTTTAAGTAAATACTAACTAAAATTAAAATTATTAAAATAATCAATTATTTATAAATAACACAAGAACCATATTACCAGCTTTTTAATGATATCCCAATCACTTGATGCGATTCTTTCAGTTTTTTCACAGGCCTGCAATAGCTCTTTAAAACCAGAGTTTTTGTTTAGATCAAAAATTATGTGGCTAAAAGCGAGACAACAAGATTCAAAACATTTTACTCGATCAATTTCATAATCATTTTCTCCTACAGCTATTGATATGATTTCAACAAAAAGTTTTAGTTCCTTTGGATCTACAATTTAAACATATTATTTTAATAAAATAATACTAAAATAATACTTATAACTATATACTTTAAAATTATAATATTAAGATATTTAACTTACAAATAAAATATATTACAAATTTTTTGGTAATCTTTTTTAACTTTTGAATAATTGCACATTCATTTCAATTTCATTAAATTTAATTAAAATTTAATTCAACACTTTAATTGTAATTCACTGAAAATTAAAATTGGGCTTTATAGGCGTCCCAAACAAAATTTATAATTCTATAAGGAAATAGTAGTTACTAGCCTAATGTTGAAGTGCATACCTTTTAGATTCTCTTTTAACCATATAAAAAGTTGCAGACATGATGAAATAACACTAAACATGTCATAAATGAAAGGTGAAAAGTTTTCAAAGGAACCAGCCAAATATTTAAAACTGTTGTCAATATCTTGCAAACTTTCAATTTCCTTTATGGGTTTCTAAACAATATATGCAAAATTAAAAAAATTTAATTCTTATTAAAATTGTAGAGAAAATAATTTTTAAATTTATTCATTAAAAATATAAATTTTAAAACCAAAACAATATTACCACCATGTTCACAACAGAAGTAAAATCTCCACATAAATTCAAACTTGTTCTCACTTCTTGTATTGTATTTGCAATGTTAAAATATTTTTCCATCAAAAACACACAGACTATTTTTTCAACACAAGTTTCTATATCTGCACCATTATAATTTACCATTAACAATTTTGTTAATAAAAAAAGTTCAGTTTTGTAGGCACTATGATTGTATCCAGAAAAAATTAAAATCACATCAGATGGACTTATTTTACAAGACACTATACTTTCAAACAAAATTTTTAAATTTTCAACAGCTGGTAAAATAATCTCTTCAAATAATTGAGTATATTTAATCTTTATCCTGTATTCTTCAAATTTTTTTGCAGTCAACTGAATTTCTTTTTTAAACAAAAAACTGCTCATCGCATTGCAATCTTTATAGTGAGAAGCATATTCAAACCACCGTAATGAAATTTTGAAGTACATGCACACTTTGTTAACAATTTTTAGTTCATCATTTGATACAATTAGACAAACAGGTTCATTATTAGCTGAAAATTTGGAAACTTCACCTGGAGTACTCTCCACAAATATTTCTTTAAAAGTTAGAACTGAATAATTTGACTGAGATACATCCTCTAAGGTTTCCGTTTTGACTATAATAAAAATAATTGTTCACACTAACATTTAAAAATTGTTTTTTTTTTTTTAATGACTTTTTTAGGCATTGATTATGTGAAATCCAAATATCAGTAACATAAATGTCATTAATGTATAAATGAAATTTTAATACAACTTGGAGTTTTAACATTGTTTAATTTAACATAAGTTGTAATATAATATTGTTTCAATATAACATTATAATAATGAATTTATCACAATTAATTACTTAAACTCCTTTGAATTAATTACTTAAACATTTTTTTTACATTTTTTTAGACACTTAATTTATCTTAATTTGCTTAATTTTTTTTTAAATTTATCTTATTTACTTACGTCTTGTAATTAACTGCTATATATTATTTACTAACAGATGGTATAGATATATATTATTTATTGCTTTTTACTTTCAATAATTTTTAAAAAGTAATTTAAAAAAATAAATTTTTAAAAAGTAATTTAAAAAAGTAAAGTTTTAAAAAGTAATTTGAAATAACAAATTTTTAAATAGTAATTTAAAAAGTGAAATTCATTTAAAGTTATTTCACAATTTTAAGTTCTATAAAACTAAAATTTTAAGTTACTGATACTTTTAGATAAAAAAATAATTTTGAAAAGAAAACTGTCTTACGCTTAAGTTAGTCTACCGTTACCAGCCTATGTATGTTATTGTATGTCACATTTTATTTTAAGCAAATTAATTGCAAATTTACCTTTTTTTAAATTACTGCAAAAAGGCAAACTTAATTGACTTCAACTTTATTATATTTTTTAATTGAGACTGTGTTTGTTTTTATTTTTTTTTAATGTTTTTTAATGCTTTATTGATTTTAATTGTTGTCTCTCTATATATTTTTTTAGTGTTCATACATTGACTGATTAAAAAGTAGTACATGCAAGGAGTGCTGCTATATACTAAAAAATAGGTAGAACATACAAAGAGTACTGCTATGGCTGAAAAATAACTAAACATGTAAAGATTGCTGCTAAATTAACTGACTAATAGGTAGAACATGCGAGGAGATGTTAATCAACAAACACAACTGAAAAAATTTAGCTGTGTTTGTTAATATTTTTTATGTAACCAAAATACGGTAAAACTTTGGTCCAACCTGCACAGGTTCCATATAAATATATAAATATATATATATATATATATATATATATATATATATATATATATATATATATATATATATATATATATATATATATATATATATATATATATATATATACACACACACAACACCATATACATACATGTTTACAATGCTAAATATAGTTAAACAGAGAGAATCAATTTAACATGACTAATCTGTTTGTTCATATTTGGCTTTTGCTGTTTTTATACAACTTTCCTAATTTGAGTTCAATTTATCGGAAGAAGAATCTAATATAGAAAAATATTTATCGGTGTATGTAACATTCATTCATTCATAAGCTTAGAGATGTTTGAATATATGCGAATTTTTGTATCTAGACAAAAATTCAGACTACATATTTTAGACTAGCATACATTACTTACGCTAGAGAGGTTGGAATGTTAAATTTTTTGACTCTGATGTATCTGATTTAAATGGCTGAGAATTTATTATTTTAATGGATTGACACTGAAACAATAGCAATTTATTAATGCAGTAGTTTTCAACTTGACCCTTCAACTTGACAACAATTACTGACCCTTGACTTACTGATGATACTGATGACTTACCTTGAATTACTGACCCTCAACTTGACAACAACTTGACCCTTCAACTTGACAACAATTACTAGGATGAAAACTCAAATGTAGCTTTATAAACATAATGAGGAATTATTGAACGTATAATGTAAGCTAGTTTCTTACTTAACTAATTAATGTAAAAGTTCTATTGAAGATTGCAGTTAAATAGCACAATGTTTAATAAGTGATATAGAAGATAATTATTAATTTTCATTTTAATTTTATTAATTTTTATAGAAATTTTAGTTTTTTCTTGGAGATGAAAAAAAAATAAGGTCAGTTTTTTTGATGTAAAGACATATTGTTAGCAATTAACCAGTGAACTTCCTTTTAGATCTGAATATATATTTTTACATGAAAAATAATACAACCTGTTGATATGCAAGAGGTTTGTGTCATCAGCAAACAGATGAACTGACAAAAAGTAAACAGAGTTGCTTAGGTCATTAACATTAAATAAAAACAAAAGAAGACCAAGAACAGAATCTTGAGGAACACCAAACAAAACAAATTTATTACTAGAATTAAAAATATTATTACGTAAAAATTATTTTTGATCTAAAACCAGTCATTTACATTTAAAAACTTATATTATGGAACTTTAAGTTTAATGCCTAACAAAAATCATCAGCTATAAATTACAAAATTAAAATTAAATGTTAATATTACAATTAGAATTACAGTGGCATGAGTTCTGATTAATCCATGGAAACAAAATTTGACAGATAATTTGAGAATCTCCACAATAAATCTTTAAATCTTGTAAACACTATTTGTGTAAATTTTATAAGGAAATGCAAAAGATTGCAGTTAAAGATTTTATTTTTTTATTTTTTAAAAAAGCAATAAAAGTTAATGTACTTCAAAAATAAATGCAACAGTCTAAATAACTAGATGACAACAAAAAGTAATTTTTATGATAAAGTATCAAAAGATAATTAATGTGTGTGTACATGTAGCATGCAAGCATTAAACAGGAGTAAAACTTACCAGTGCATTGAAGTAACAGTTTGCAAAATTGATGGATGTATTTCACAATCTCTTTGCCTTTATTTAAATAATATAATTCCTTCAATCGTAAACTATATCTTTCTTTAAAATTATCAAAAAAATTTATTTTCAATACTTTCATAAGATCAAATAAAACACTTTCTTTGTTCTTAAGGTTAATCAAAAAGTCAATTGTAATTTCACCATTATCAATAATTTCAAAAATGTAATGGATTACTGATACAACTTCATGGGTAAAAAAATTTGCTTCCTTGTTTGAGTTTTTTCCTGAAAAAAAAAAAAAAAAACAACTAATAAAAACTAAAAAGTAAAACTGAAAATATTTTTAAAAAATAGCTATCTAATATTAATCATCTTAAAAAGTCAGAAAAGAAAAAAAAAAAAAATTTTTTGTGTTGTTTATTTTTTTACATTTACCCTAACTATATTAAGCAGGAGTGAGCCATTAAAGTAAAAGAAAACTATTTTTTTTTTCTCACTTTTTTTTTTTTTTTTTTTCAACTCTCTAAATTGTAAGGACAAAAACAACCGCAACAGTCAAGCCCATTACATGAAGAAACAAGAAAAATAAGTAAAAGTAATATTTGTTTTATTTAATCTTTAACAATAAAATTCTAATTATAAGAGTTTTGAACTATTTGTAACTAATTTAAAAGAGCAAAAGAACAAAAATCAACAAAAAATAACAAAAATCAATGTGAATATCAAGAAGTTTGCATTATAACATTGGAGCTTTGTACAATTCAATGAACAAAATTAGCTCTGAAAAATACATAAAAATAAACAGTTAGTTCAATAATAAACACATATTTTGGGGAAAAAAATTTTATAATAAAAATGACGAGAAAAAATAAGTTATTGCTCATTGAAATAATTAATACTTTTTTAAACTCAAAAGATTTTGTTCAAATCTTTTGAGTGTAAACGCAGTAGTGGTGTAGTGGTAAAACACTCGCTTCATAAGCGAGAGGTTCCAAGTTCAATCCCCACCACTTCCCTGGTAGTACTGCGCTCAACTTGTTTCTCCGCGCAGCAGCGTTGTTCGTTAAGGTTCGTGTTTTGGAGTTATAGAGTTGAGAGAGGGTTATAACCACTAATAAGTAGCCTCCTCGTCTGTAGTGGCCTTCTTGGCTTTGAGGAGGTGAATGACAAAAAAAAAAAAAAAAAATCTTATCTAACTAAACAACTTTTTTCTTTAAAAATTAAAACAATATATGAATGAAAATGAACCATTTAGCCATATATAAATAGAAAATTGAATAAAAAAATTATTTAGAAATTTTTTTTTAAGATCAGGAACTAAAGTGAACAAACAAGTTATTTAATCATATGTAAATATATATGTATACATACATAATTATATTTTATAAATCCTAATTTAAAATAAAGTAACATAGCAAATAATGAATTGAACAATCAATTTCATCTATCCTTAAACAAACTAAAGTTAACATTGAACGCAGATTAAGTAACAGGTCTTTTTTTTTTCAAATCAAGCTTACTCCCAAAAAAGCTGCAAGCAATTAAAAATAGGTTAGAAGTTACAGAAAAACAAAAAACATAGTTAGACAGCAAGGAAATGGTTGACAGAAGACTTGAAAAGTTGTTGGTATAAGTCACCAAAGTATTAAGATGGGAGAGAGTATCAAAGGGGAAAAACCCAGCTGGACATAGGTTTTTAGAGCATTCAGTGATAAATACACTAAAAGAATTCAACTTTGTTGAATATTAAAACAAGCCTTAATGATTTTTTGCTGATGGAACTAAAGATGATAGCTCCTTTAATCGGTAACCATGACAGTACTTTAATAGACAAATTTGGTTTGTCCATTATTCCAAAAAAAAAGTAGTTTGCAAATAGTTCAGCCTTGGGTAAGATATCAATGACACTTTTGAAGATTTTCAAAAAAAGTCTGTAGAGCCTATCTTCTGAGATCAGTTACAAGATTTGGCAAATTGGAAATATTGAAGCTTTGCATCAGATAGCAGCTTTTTACATTGCATTATTTCTTGCAATAAAATAAAAGGTATTTATTTTCAAGAGAGTTGTTCTTTTGAAAAAATGAAAAAAATAATTACAATTATATATAGAGGCTGCAGAAGGTGATAACTATGGAATAGAATGAGGCTTGATTTAAAACTGATAAGAAGGAAAAAAAAACTACCATACTAGCCTGAATCAAAGAAGTTACGTAGGAGGCCAATTTATCAGTGGAGATAAAAAACATCAGCCCAAGGACTGTCATTTTGGCAGTTGATGGGTACCTGGGCACCAAGCTACCCACCTGTTGGTTATTGCCTGGGTAGCATTTTTCACTGACGGGTACCTGAAGAAATTCTTAATTGCAATTCTTTTATCACAATCAAATTTCTCAAATATATAATGTTCGGAAAGTTATTCGATAAAAAACATTTTCTTATTCAGATGTTCAATGTTATTCAATGTACAATAAACCTTGTTTCATATACAATGCTTTCCTTTATGTAAATCGGAACTCAGCCAACTCGTATATAAATTTATCTCTTGAACTAAACTCTTTTAAAAGGATCAATATAATGATATTTTCCATTTGTAAGATGGAAAATATAATTATATTGAAGCTCTCTCAAAGAAATTCAAGTTTTAGTTAAGCAAATCATATTATTATACCTAAAAGTAATTCAAAGCGTAATTGGGACTTGAGTAAACTGAACATTTAAAACAAAATTTAGATATAAATGAAAAAGTGCAGCTATTATAAAAAATACTTATTTTTTAACAGGTAACCGAGTAGCTGCCCATTTGTTTGATGGATGCCCGGGCAGAGATTTTTATATTTTTCGACAGCCCTAACAATCGTGAAAAAAATCAAAAAAAAATTCCAGTCAGCTTTAAGGTAGTATTAAACAGTGTTATAATAGGATGATTTTAAAGAAGTTGGAGATAAAAGAATTTTAGAGATCATTGCATATTTGGAACCACCTAAAGGAGAACAAGGATAAAATGAACACAAGATAGGGCCAAAGACAAAGCACAAATCAAGAAGTGAAGATAAGTGATTAGGGTTGTCTGGAAGTAAGTCACAAAGTAAACTACTTGAGTAAGAGATTAAGAAATGCAAAAAATACATGTTTTTTAGTGCCAGCAGGGTCATGGGTGTTAGAGCTAAGCCATTCAGTGTGACAAGCATTAAAGTCGCCAATAAAAACAATGTTGGTAGAGGGGTAAAGAGAAATGGTCAATTTGATCAGAAATTGAATCTGAAAGAGTGAAGTCTTAAAAAGGAGAATAATAAAGAATAAAGAAAAGGTTATGGGTTGACGTGAAGAGGTTTTAAGCAGAAGCACATAAAAGAATGGTCAAATGATTCAAACCTTATTTTTGACAAATATGAATGAACTGATGCATAAGAATACGATTATGTAAGTATACACTTGTATTAGTATATTTAAGCATAAGTATCCACATAAGTAAGTGTAAGCATGCATAAGTATATGCATGCATAAATATAGACATATGTAAGTATATGCATGTGCAAGTTTATGCTAAATACAATTTGTAAGTATACCCAGGGGTAAAATGCTTATAATATGATGCGTGAGTATAGACAGATCATTTATGCATTGAAAAGGCACCAGAGTTATCAGTATTAAAAGAGATATAATGGTTACTAACACCATAACAAAGAACACAGAGATATTTTCAAATAAAAGATTATAGATAGGTAAAAATGACTACATTGTTTACAAAAATTAAGAATCTGTTAGAGCTTTTGCAATTGGTACATGCTAATTTTGTGGTTATCACAGGATGCGATGACAAAGATCTTTCCTAGTTTATTAATACGAATCTTGTGAAATAGCTCTTTAATGTCAAAACAAATATATGTATATTTTTTAATGTTATTTATCTCCTCAAGTCTGAGAGGGCTACTATAGTCAAGGAGGTTACTTTCATGTAGTTACAACCCCCTCTCAACTCTTTAACCCCAAAACACGAACCTTGATGGGCAAGTCCACTCTGTAGAGAAATAAGATGAGCGTGGTACTAACAAAGATGTTTTGGGGATCGAACTCAAAACTTCTCAATCATGAAGCAAGTGCTTCACCACTCAACCACTACCCTTTTACCGCAGAGTTGAGAAGAGTTTGTCTGATTTGCTCAAGGTGTTTGGGTAGAAATGGTACTGATTTTATAGCCTATAAAGAGAATAAATAAATAAAGAGAATGGGCCTTAGAACATTATTCTAAAGTACTTCAGCTTGGAAATATTTCGAACTGAAGCGTGATCACTTATTTTTACTCTTTGTCAACCATTAGGTAAGTTAGATGCAATCCAAGGTGTAAGCTAGCTTGGTAGAATATTCTTTATTACAAGATCATGACATTACTTTAACAGTAACTTGTCATAATCAATCTTTTTAAAAAACTGAAAAATATTGTAAAAATTGATTTATTATTTTTTTTAACATGATTTTAACTAGAATAATAACATTCATTGTATAACTGCCTGGGGCAAAACAAAATTGTTAATTTAAGATCCAGATGTGCTTGGTGTAATGAAAAATGAATTTTGTGACAATGCGTTCAAAAACAAAGCCGATAATAATAAAAACATTTAAAAACAAAGTGGATAGTAATGTCAATGTAATGGCAATTGAACAATAGTCGTTTTTTGAAAAGCCATTTTTTGAGTTAGTTGAAAAAGGGTAAAAATGGGAATATATGGCAAGATTAAATGGTAGATCTGCTTGACAGTTAATGAAAAACAAAAGGTTAGCTTCTTATTGCTCCTATGGAAATGACCGTTGAATTAGATTGCTAATGTCTCAGAAATAATAACTTTTCTTTTATTGGAATGCCTTATTTCATGCTAAAGTTTTGTTATTTCAAAGGAGACGTGTCTGTTATATAGACGTTTCCTTTAGGTAATTAGTTAAAATTACTTTTGTTGTTCAATTATTTATCTTACAAGTAAGTACAAGTAAATACTTACTTACAAGTAAATATAAATATTTTTTTTATATGTATAAATGTTTTATAATGTTATTATGCTTTCTATATATCTATATGGTTGCTGTTTAGATTAATATCTAAATTGCTAATAAATAATTGTTAAACTAAACTAACAAAAAATAGTTGTTTAATCAAAAAAAAAAAACTTGTAAAAATAAAGTAACCCAATATAGTCATTCTCTACCCTCTTTGAAAGCTTATAGAAAATATCAAACTCGGTATCAAGCGACAGAAAATAGTTTCAAATAAGACATCACAACAAGATGCAATAGTTAGTATTTTTTGTTTGAAAAAATATTTTAACAAAAGTATGTTTTGAACTTATCTTTCAATGATAACTTTAAACTACAGTTACTGGAACCCAATTAACAAATTTGTTTAGATAAGTTATTGCAACTTTAAAAAATACTTAATGGTATTACAACATGCAAGCCATCTCTACTTGACTTTTTTTATATTAATTTATATAAAATTATGTTAATTTTTATAACTACTGTTTATATACATAAATGCATAAACATATGAATTAACTACAAGACATTAACTGCAAACTTTATATTACAGCCACATTCGTTTGTGAAGTTCACGACTCAGAGGTAACCAATTGTTTTAGGGTGGTAGCTTTCCTATCAAAGTTAAATTGAATTTGAATTTGGATATTGATGAGAGTTGATTAGGTTTGGTTTCACTTTTGAAATGCCACCAAAAAATCCAAACATAAATATGTTACTTCAAGAAATGCAAGAAAAAATCTAGCAATTAGAAAAAAAAAAATAGACGAGAAAGATGTTTTGATAGATAATCTTGAAGAAAAGTTAAATGAATTAGAAAATAAATTATGCCAAGATAAATCAAAAGATCTAAATAATTGGAGTGAAGTCATAAAAAGAAAAGTCAAAGCAAGACAAGGTCAAAATGATATAATTAACATTGTTCTACATGAGGAAAAAGAACGTAATAAAAGAAAAATAATATTACTATATTTTGGTGTTAAATTAGCAAATCATGATAATATTGACAAGAAAAAAATAGATGAAGATATGGAAAAAGATACCTTTGACTAATTAAATACAGACAGGGTAAAATAGACAGGGTAATAGACAGACAAGGGTAAAATAAAAAAAGTAATCAGACTCAATACAAGAGACACTTCAAAAATACCACCAGTTATCACTGAGTTAGACAGTGCGTCAGACAAAATAAGTGTATTCAAAGCTGCATAGATTAACAGAAACAAGATAAACAACATATTTTAATTCAGATATGACAGAATCAGAAAGAGATCTCATTAAGCAGTTAGGTATTGAAGTTAAATTGTTAAATGCTAGCCTAAATCAAAACAATGAATACTGCTGTGCTATAAAAATTTCAAAATTGTTAAACTCATAATAAAACCAAAAAAAAGTTGTCATCATTTTATTTGTATCAACCTGCAGTATTGGCTGTCCCTTCAGCATGTAATCCTGTATCTAATTATGTTCAATCACAGGTGTTGTTATGCAAACACCCAAATATCATCTATGTTGTAGATATAAAAATACGACTCCACTAAACAATAAATTTGATTTGTTTTTGTTAGAAATAGCAGCGTATAATCCTGAAATATTTATTGTAACTGAAACTTAGTTTAACTTATAAAGTACCATAAATGTAAATGGGTATAATGTTTTTCACAACAATCGATCTAAAGCTAACTCAACTAAATGTTATGGTGGAGGTGTAGGTATCTATGTTAAAAATAAGTACCTTGTTTTTACTCCTAACGACCTAGCATCTGAAGAAATGACAGTTGAACAAGTCTGGTGTGTCATTAAAACAGAAAATGAGAATATATTAATTGGTAGCATCTTATCTTACAAATCAAAAAATCAATAAAATAATAAATATAGCAAAAAAAAGTTTTGATTGCAACAAATATTCAAGTTTACTTTTAGCAGGAGACTTCAATTACCCAAACTGTAACTATTGAGCAATTTAAATAATGCACATCAGATATTTTAATAGAATTACATCTTAAAAAAACCAACTATATCAAAAATTTCCTATAGGAAATTAAAGTTTAACTGCAAAACTGGAAATTATCAAGAAATGAACAATTCATTCCATAGTATAAAATGGTCACATCTTTTTTTTAATAAAAATGTTGATGAATGTTAAAAAATCTTTGTAAAGAAATATCCCCAATTATCTAACAGTTATATAACTAAAACAGTCCATAAACAAATAGCTTTAAAACCATGGGTTGACAAAAAAATGAAGACTGAAATCAGACATAAAACAACTTTATGAAACAATTTAATATTAAATAAATTTAATTCACCCATTTTGGTTCAACAATACAAAATAAAAAGTAAACTATTTAAAAACATGGTGAGGTTAAAATGTATTGAATACGAAAAAAGAATAAATGAAACATCAAAAAAAGATCCCAAAATATTTTACAGTTATGTTAATTCTAACAAAAAAGTTAAAGCAGGAATAGTTTCAATGTCTGAAGAATATAATAGCACTGTAACAAATAGAGAATCTATAGCAAATATTTTAAATAATAGTTTCACTTCAGTTTTTGTTAATGAAGATAAGCATAACATACCACATATGCTGCAGAAGACTAAAATTATTCTAGAAGTAAATAAAAACAATATAATAACTTGCTATACTATTGAAAATAAATTTAAAAAATTAGATGTTTACAAAGCTGTTAGAGTAGATAAGATAAGCGCTTAAGCAAATGTCATAGTACTCTCTGTGAACCATTAAGTTTAATATGTAAAATCATTGACTGAGAAACAATTAGCTAGACTCTGGAAATCAGCAAATATAACCCTGATTTTTAAAAAAGGTAATACGAACAATTCATCTAATTACAAGCCAAAATGATATAAATAATGGCTCACAAAATTTAATTATAAAAAATTATGTATATTGGGAAAAAAAATCCAAATGCTAAATTTATAGTGACTGATATTGATTGTAATTATAATTATACATTATGTAACACAGAAATTGAATGTGATTTAGGTATAATGGTTCAATCAGATCTAAAATGGCACTCACAAGTTGATTCAGTAACTACCAAAGCAAACAGAATGTTAGGTATCATAAAGAGAACATTTAATTATTTAGATGTAAACTTAGTAAAAAAGTTCTATACAACATTCATACATCTACATCTTGAGTTTGCAATTCAGGCATGGTCTCTATTCCTACAAGAAGACATAGACAAAATTGAGATGATCCAAAAAAGAGCAACAAAACTAGCACCTACAATTAAAAAATAACCTTGTGAAGCTAGGTTAAATATTATGCAGTTAACGACACCAGAAGAACGTAGACTACGTGGAAATCTTATTCAGCATTTTAAAATTTAACATGGCCATGATAAAATAATTTAGGTTACAAGCAATTATCGAAAAACATCAAATGAAGGTCCGTATTTACAAAAACACAAATTTAAAATGAAAAAACCTTTTTGCAAAAATACTTTCAAATATCACTTCTTCTAAAATCGAGTTATAAACGCATGGAATAACTTACCATCTGAAATAGTAGAAGCTACTTCAATAAATAACTTTAAAAATAAACTAGACAATTCTGAATTTGGCAAAAACTTTTTGTTAAAACATAAACTAAAGAAAAACTGAGCTCTTACAGTAAAATATCTACTGTTATTGCACTTCGCAACTGTTAACACCAGTTGTTACAGCTATGCCTTAATATTATTATTTTTATTATTATTATTATTATTATTATATATAAACACATATGTATACACGCATACATGCACTTATGTATATACACATACACACAGATATATATATATATATATATATATATATATATTATATATATATATATATATATATATATATATATATATGTATATATATATATATATATATATATATATATATATATGTATATATACATATATATATACATATATATATATATATATATATATATATATATATATATATATATATATATATATATATATACATATATATATATATATATATATATATATATATATATATATATATATATATATATATATATATGTATATATATATATATATATATATATATATATATATATATATTTATATATAATTAATATATAAACATATATATAAATGTATATATATAAATATATATATATATATTTATGATATAAATAAATATATATATATATATACATATATATATATATATATATATATATATATATATATATATATATATGTATATATATATATATATATATATATATATATATATATTTATATATATATACATATATTTAAATATATATATATATATATATATATATATATATATTTATATAAATATGAATGTTAAGAGAGAAAAAGAAAAGTTTATAATTACTTATGTGGTTTAACAATACGATGAAAGGTGGCCATGTAAGACAAAATTTCACTTTTTCATTTATAGAGGTTAAACATTCCCATTTAGTTGTTACAAACTTGATCAAATTAGTACTGTAACTTGCCAATGTGCAGAGCGTTTGTAAATTTTTCTAAAAAAAATGAAGTTTAAATCATTAACTTATAATGACACTTAACTAAAACCAGGTTGCTAAAAAATATATAGTATAATGAACTTAAAAAACAATATTCAATAATTATTACCATATCTATGCTTTCAATTAAGCCATTATTTAAAGGGATCCCAAACTCCTAACACATGTTGTGTTCATATTAAAGATAATGTTAAAAAAAAAGATTTGAAAAAAAAAGTTTTTTTGATTAAAAATAAATAATGAATGCATACCGAGAAAAACTAATGTTGTTGTTTTAGCCGAAGCTCACCTTCTCCATTTTTTTCAATAACTCGAAGTCTTTAAATTATACGTCAGACTTTGGCGGTTCCTTTGAAGCGCGTTTAATTCATAAAAGTTTTAGGATTTGACGTCGCGGTATACTTTTAACAAATGAAACTCAGGAAATATTTTCATTTATTTTTATTCGAACTTTTTTTGATTATTTGTTTAGTTTTTTTTTTTCTATATTTAACATTTAAAAAGATATTAAAAACCTCCAATATTTTATGCTGGTTCGTTGCTATAAATTGTTATTGTGCCATATATTTAATGTTTATAAATTATGAATATTTATTATCTCAATCAAGACTCTGATAAAAAAATGTTTTACATTAATTACCCTTATAAAATTAGTAACAGCATTTTTATTTGGTTAGACATTATTTCGTCTCAATTTGCTTTGCATGAAGTTTGGGAAGTCAAGCGAACAAAAATTAGATTGAATAATCACTTTGAAATATATTTAAAACAAATTATTTTAATGACAGGGGTTTGAAAGTTTTTCATAACAAATGTAGGTAAAAAATAAATAATTAAATAAAAAGTTCAACATTAAACATCATTTCTTTATTATATTGCAACTGTAAATATTAAAATATTAACTTGAACTAAATTTACTTATTATTTAGAACGACTAAGCAATAAAAATGAAAATCCCCTAAAATTATCAGATATTGTGTTGTTTACTTGATAATTGTTGTCGGTAATGTTGTTTATGTTGATTATTTTCATTAATATCAAAAAAGTCTCAAATTAATCTGTTAGTTGCTTTGTTCATTGTTGATTTATTTCTAATTTAATTTTATCTCTAAGTATAAATTTATGTTAAGAAAGAAAAGTTTTTATTTCATCGCTCGCTCTTTTTATAAAATAGTAGAGCAAAAGAGAAAGAAAAGTTTCGCGTAATTAAACTTCGAATGAATAAGAGTTGTATAGAATATTTATTTTTTTTGCGTCACTCGCTCTTTTTTTAGATGAGAGAAATAAAAATTTAATAGTAACTTTTCTTTGAATAAATGAAAATTGGAAGAGAAAATTGCTTGAAAAATTGTATTTGTTGTGTTTTAAAAATTTTTCAATTTTTCATGTTAAGAGACAAATGCCAAATACAACACAATTCGGGAAATACCAAATATAATATGTTTTTTAACGCGCGTTATGACATTTTGACAATTTAAATTACCATTTATCTTGAATTATTGCCATTAATTAATGTGTTAATTATTGCGTTATATAATAATAATTTGTCCGTATTTTTGTTAAATATTAGTTGTATAAAATGGACGAAAATATACAAACTTCATATTTTTTATTTGACGGTTATAAAATATTGAACAGTAAACTTATAATCAAAATTTATAATGCCGACTTGTGTTGCTATTAATTGTACTTTTAATGCAAAACCAGGATCTCACATATCCTTTCACGAATTTTCATATCTGATACTACTGTCAAATGTATTGTTTAGTGTATTCTTGTACTTTTTTTTCATAACCTTAACAGGTTCTACTTGATATGGAGTTGCTGACATTTTAAAAGTTTCATTATCAAAAATCAAATGTAAAATAAAATGATATTTCCTTTTTATCTGTATCCAAATCAGCAAATTTAGCAATTTAAAATAAATCAGCGTTATCAAAAAAATTTTATAATAAAAAAAGTTAACAATTCATCAAATATCTCTGATTAATACTGTCAGTTTATGAAATTAATTGTTAATAAATACTTTTTTTTGACAGGAAAACAATGAATATCATAGCATAAAAATAACCAGAGAAGTTAGAAAAAAGTTCCCATTGTTTAAATAAAAATAAGTAAGATGCAGAATACATAATACTGCGCTCTCTTGCATAAAAACGAGAGACCGTAAACATAACGTTCTATATAATGTAAAACACTCGTATGAAAATTATAAGATTTGTAAGTAAAGCTTTAATATTTGTTTTAACTTAAAAACAAACGAATTATAAGTAAGATATATAAATCTAAAAATTATAAAGATATCGGTAAATAAAAAGTTCCTCCTATGAAATAAAAAGCTTTTATTATTTTTGATTTTTACAAAAATTTGTTGTAAAAGCTGTTTTGCTGTATGTTAAAAAATTACTACATTGTACTTTTTGAATTGAAGTAGAAAAACGCAACTTTGTTTAATTACACTTTTCTTTTGTTAAAAAACTACCATGATGTCAAATGCTAAAACTTTTATGAATTAAACGTGCTTTAAAGGAATTGCCAAAGTCTGTAGATTGCGACATATATTTTAAAGACTCCGAGTTATTGAAAAAAATGTAGAAGGCGAGCTTCGGCTAAAACAACAGCATTAATTTTTCTCGGTATGCATTTATTATTTATTTTTAATCAAAAAAACTTGGTTCAAACCTTTTTTTTTTAACATTATCTTTAATATGAACAAAACATGTGTTGGGAGTTTGGGATCCCTTTAAAGATAATAATAATAACAATCACAAAATATTATAATAAGAAACTTGGTAATGCTTCTTAGTGCGTTTTTGACACAAAGCTCATTAAAAAACAATAAGAAAATGTTTTATAATAAGAAATTGTTAGCCTTTCTATATAAAGTTATTGTTTTATTTTAAGTAAAAATTACCAGTTAAGTTGTTTTTGATGTAAATTAGACAGGTTGTTTATTATTTTGGAATTGATTTTTGTACTTATACTTTGAAATGTAATTGTTTTACACTGTCGATCACAATAAAATAACAAGCTCCTAATTTTCATATTTTATTTTATTGCTTTAACTTTACGTTTTTCAACATTTTTTAATGTTTTATATATGATGGTGTTCTGCACTCAGTTTTTTAACTATTAAAGTCTAATTTTATTTAACATACAACTTAATAATAATTTTTTGGACTTCATTTGTGTATTTCAAACTAAATTATATTTATTAAGATGGTTTGTTATCTATCGATAACTCCATAATATTTTATTAATTCCAAATAATTTGATAACTCCAATCAAAACAAACTTTAATATTTGTTAACTTAGATTTATCTAATAGACTAAGGAAATACAATATTTTTATAGATGATACTATTTTTTAAAAATAGATTATTAATAATATTCCAAACAAAAACATTTTCAAAAAATTGTTTACAAACAAATTGAAAAAACACTTTAGTATGAATTTTTTACTTTACTTTACAGTGCAGTCTGTACCACAAAGATTAACGAGAATTGTTTTGTGTTAGTCCCAGAAATTGAATACACACCAGTAAATTCCGTAATTCATAAAAATATTATGAAATCATCAGCAAGTATATATAATTATCATTAAAAATGTTGCCCTTCTATCTTTAATTTTATTTGCTTTATTAGTGAAATGTTGTATTTACTTTCATAAATTCTAAATGTTATTTGTAATTTTGTGTATAATTTCTTAAAAATATTATTAACTTTATTGTATCAAAATAAAATTGCATCCCCTAAAGATATGAGTATTATTTGCACAATTAACAAGCATTAAAGTGCAATTTGGTGAACTACAAAGCACATTATTTAATTTTTAGCATAACTAGAAATTGTAACAAACACATGCCAACTAATGATTAGCCTGACAGAGTGTCATTGCCACTAAAAGCAGTAGAGAATTTAAGTACTCTTAAAGAAAAATTAAAAGACAGGAGAATACTTTAGCATATGGTAAATATTTTTTTATGATCCATTTATGCATTGCGTATGATATTTCATTATAAAAGTTCTGTATTATTTAAAGATTTTTAGTGAATAAAATTTTATTTGAAATAACTTAAATTTTAATTCTAATCAAAAGTTATAAATTTAATTTAAATTTAAAGTCTAATCAAAAGTAACTTTAATTATTGCCAGGTTGTATATTTTTGCAGGTTAATTATTTGGGATAAATTAGAATTAAAGGTGAAAGAGATTGTATATATCAATTACTTAAAATAGTTTTTAAAATGGCCTAGCTTTAAAATTAAACTATGCAGGGAGAAAACAAAATATCAGAATAGGAAAAATATTGATTGCATATATTGCTAATGGTAAGTGGTTAAAAAAGTTATTTTTTTTAGTTTCAATTGTGCCTTACTCAATTACTTTCAATTTAATATGTTTCTTTGGTGCATAATTAAACAAACAACTAATTTTTTTGCAGAAGCTGTGAAGTCAAATAAGCATGGCTTAGGCAGGCATGTGATAAAAATAGTGGAAAAAAAGCTGATAGTCATGGGCACCAAATATCATTGGCTATAGTTAGCTGACCAGATCATTGCCGATCTTTAATGTCATTTGTTTCAGTATAACATTTTATAATATTTGCAACAACCAAATATGCGATATTTAATTTATTGGCTATTTGTCGATAAGATTGGTTTCAAAGAAAAATTGATTTGTAGCATATTTATTCTAAGATTCTCAGAAAAAACATGCTACGTGATTTTTGAGTTTCATATTGTATTTCTTTGCTCATTTTGTAACTTTTTTATTATTTAATTTATTTGTATTTTAATTAGTATTATTTCAAAATAAAAAATTAAAACTTTAGAGTAAATAAAAGCTGATGCCTTTTAGCCTTAACTTTTGACTGAAAAAACCAAAGTATTATAGTAGATATTATAAAGTTACATAAAACCAGGACTACAATATAAATGTTAGGGAAACAACATGTAAATTTAATAGTAAATATAATATTTATTAATAAGAGTAAA